CTTCTGGCAGAATGCCATACGGTGCGATACGTTATGCTGGGATCGATATCGTGCCAAGATTTCACATTGTTGTTGATCAGGCGCATTCTTAGGACGTCGAAGGCGCCAACGGGTGCCATCCGTACTTGCTTACGCGTCGTCATCCTAGATTACCAGTCGAGGAGAGAAGGGACTGCGAGTAGTGTTTTGCGCCTGCGTAAACCTAGTCGGCTTTCCCTCCTTACCATGAGATCTGCAGGAAAAATGTCCAAGCAATTTGCTTTATTCTACCCAATTTCGTTTTCTTCCTGCACTTTGTCCTCGGCTTTTACGTCCTTTCGTTTTACTCCTCCGCTCGTAAACTCGTGCTTGCATTATTTCACTTGTTATAAAACTGGTAGCTGCCCTGGAAAATTTATGTCGCCAGTGGCCTGGCTTATCGCCATATACGTATGCATATATTTATTTTAACCTTTACCTGCCTGCCGATTTAACATACGAGATGCTGTATTTTTCTTCGCATATATAACTGTACACCTTCTTCTTCTCGTCTTGCAATTCGAACGCGGGCGGAGCGTGAAATTTGACGTACAGCGGTGTCGTCTAGTCGAAGGAACTTTTAAGTTCGACGTCGCAGTTTCAAATATATACAAACTTTCGTGTATAGGTGTAAGAGTTTTTTTTTTTTACAAGAGACGTTCCTTCTCGTGCGGACATTACAGGCGCAATACAATTTTATACCGAGTTGCGTTTTTCCCGGATGACTTTTGAAGGACGCTGTACGTCTCAAAGGTGAACTCGGATAATCTGACTTTGATATTGGTAATACTCGTTAAGAATATCTGTGGATGGTACTTTCAGACTTGCGAGAATACCTGCTGAATATATATACAGGGTGGGGCATTTATAGCGACCAGGTCGATTTTTTTGGAAAGGAAGCCAGATATTAAAAAAATGTTTATGACAGAAGTTGTAGAGTTTCAAGGGGGACGAAAGATTCCTTTATAGAATTCCTCTCTGAGTGCAGGCGTTAAGGTAATTCGAAGGTTAATTTTCATTTTTTTCAATGGGATGATGCAATTTTTCTTACGGAAATCAAAAGATGATTCAATTTTGAGTCTGAAGGTACAAGTACACTAATGACCCAAAATTGGCAGGTGATAAGATATTTTAAAAATGAGAAAAAATATGTTTTTTTTAAATATTACCTGGGATCTAATATCTACAATCCCTCTTTTCT